TCCTAAAACACAGGTGGCCTAAAACTACACTAAATGGCCCAGTCAGTCACTAACAACTCTTGAAAATTTCAAAACCTTCTTCTGTACAAGTGGGAACAGACTAACTCGACAATATTGCTTATGTAATTTCTGGATTGTCTCATCATATATATATATTATATATATATGATATGTATATGTCTTCTGAATACTCTTACAATTTCTAATTGATATTACTTACTGTATGGTCTCATCTGAGCTGTATGGTCATATACTAATTATATTTAAAAATCCATCTATCAAGTATGAGCACTGGCTGCTCTTGCAGAGGACTTGGGGTCAGTTCCCAGCACCCACATTGCAGCTAAGAAGTGTGTATCTTTAATTACAGAGAATTCAACACCCACTTCTAGTATCTGAAGGCATTTAATGCACGTGATACAGGACATATATGCAGATAAAATGCTCATGCAAGTAAAATAAAAATAAATTAATTAGTTAAATTAGAAAACATAGTAAAAGACCATATGGGAATTTATTGACATTAGAATAAATACTTACAATATCCCAGTTAAGCTCAGCATAGTTAGACCTTGGGCCAATCTAGCAATCCCTAGTTCCCATATTCCTTTAACTCCTTTTCTGTAAAGTCATTTTTCAAATAAGTGGAAAGCCTGTTTTATTAGGTCACAATCTCTTCAGATTTTTCTCTTTCTCGCAAAAATCAGACCTTCCTCTCTTGAAGCTGTTTCTAGGAAAGAGAGCTGATGAAGCTTGCTGAAGTCCAGCAATCTTCCTCCCACTTGCAGGTCCAAGAAAGTCAAGAATTGTAGTTTCTCTTTTAAAATCCTGTGTTAAAGTCAGGCATAGTGACATGTTTTTATTCCCAGCATTCAAGAGGTAGAGGCAGGTGAGGTCTGTGAGACTGAGGACAGTCTGGACTACATAACAAGCGCCAGGCCAGTTGGGGTTACATGGAGACCCTGTCTCAAAAAAGACCAAAATATAAATAATAAATAAATAAATAAATAAACAAATAAATATAAAAATGCCCCATGGCTTCCAGCCTGTGGGCTAGGTCACATGGAATGGAACTTACCCACCTCCTTGGAAATCTGTCAGGCAGTCCCTTTGTCTTATGGATGAAGATTCTCTCCCTTCAAGTACCCATCAAGATGCCTGTGCTCTGGCTATATAATCCCCTCATGTTCTGGAATGTGCAGGGTGTGTCTCTTTCTTCAGGACCCTCATCATGCCACACTCTGAGGCTGTCTCTCCTAATACTGTCCCCCCTCAGAACCTCATCATGGCTACCTGTTGCAATGAGTCTCTAACTCTCCTAGGAAAGGCCTCCATGGTTCGTTCATCTCATTCACCTCAGCTTTCTATGAAACCGCTTCATCTTTCCGAAGTTACAACAGTAGCACATGTTATTCATTCATATTCTTCATAATCACCTTTTGAGTATCAGTGGTAAAACAGGCACTTTTCCATTTTCATTTCATTACAGCAGCATAGAGAGGTAGGTTTATGCCTCCATCTCTATCACATTCACATAAATACATAGTGCAACTTCATGGATGAAGATTCTCTCCCTTCAAGTACCCATCAAGATGCCTGTGCTCTGGTATATAATCCCCTCATGTTCTGGAATGTGCAGTGTGTGTCTCTTTCTTCAGGACCCTCAGCATGCCACACTCTGAGGCTGTCTCTCCTAATACTGTCCCCCCTCAGAACATCATCATGGCTACCTGTTGCAGTGAGTCTCTAACTCTCCTAGGAAAGGCCTCCATGGTTCGTTCATCTCATTCACCTCAGCTTTCTATGAAACCGCTTCATCTTTCCGAAGTTACAACAGTAGCACATGTTATTCATTCATATTCTTCATAATCACCTTTTGAGTATCAGTGGTAAAACAGGCACTTTTCCATTTTCATTTCATTACAGCAGCATAGAGAGGTAGGTTTATGCCTCCATCTCTATCACATTCACATAAATACATAG